GAATTACGGCCCTGTCGTACGTGTTGTTGATGGCCGACCTCTATTGAAGGTTGCCACTGCTGCTCCTAGTCACAATTTTGGTTGTTGTGGTCCTCCTGTTTCACGTGTGCTTCCTCTATCATTGATGGCCGACATCTATCGAAAGCCTCCAGCAGAGAAGACGAGGGATCGACATCGACATCGGCAGCGCATCCCACGGGCGTTCGTCCACACTGGATGCAATCACCATCGTCTGAAAGACACGTGGCAACATACGCAGCTTCTCACAGAAGTTCTCCTACGCCGCATCATTGCATTGCCTGAGATCCTCTCACGCCCTCCCGGTCCTCCTTTTCATCCACCACCTCGATGTCGCCCGTGGAAGAACACTGCAACCCATGGCGCAGCAAACCTGAACTGCAGCCTCGGTGATGGCCACGGTATCCAGCCCTTCGACCGGGACTTGATGAAGCGTCTTCCTCCTCCGCGCGCAGATCTTCGCTCTCATTCTGCCCAATGCCCTCTCCTGCTGACAATGAAAGAGCACGACCGTCACGGTCGCCACCACGGTCGTCTTCTCGATCGTCGACAACTTCGCACATCCATCGTCGCTGCCGCCCTCCATCGGCACGTGTGTTGCAATGCTAAGGAACCACGAAAATACAACACCCTACCAACTCGTCACAACCACGGTAACCTCAGCGCCAAGTCCCCGACGACGTTCCCCGCGTGTGCTCGATTCAACACATAGGCGCAGTGGCACGCAGAGGCGATGGCGACGGACCTTTGTTGGGCGCTCACAAATTCGTGACGACGTACGAGGACTCCATTACGCCACTGCAAATGCCCGTTTCCACCGTCACAGATATGGATGGATGCCACCTGCCTCACGTCTGCGTTACCGCGCGCTCCATGAGCGCGGGGTCGGAGCTCAAATTTTTGAGTTCCGCTCAATCATGCGCTCAAAAGCGCTTGAGCAGGTTTTGAGCGGGCGCGATAATATTTGTTTCCCCCTGAAACGATGATTAAAAAAAAAAAAACAGAAAGTACAGGGTTATAGATATTTTCGAGATCTACGACCCTATGTTTTTTATTTTATTTTTTGAACTTTTTCTTTATTTAAAAAAATCAAAAACATAAAAGAAAGAAAATAACAAAAAAAAAACAATATGAAATGGGTGGGTTTTTCTTTTTTTTAACAGATATTGTTTTGCAGGTAAAAAAATAACAAAATAAATAATAAAAAATATACTCTTGTACAGGGTTATCTGACCGAACGTTCGGGGGCCCGCGGGCTGGCCCCCGAACGTTCGGGCGTTCGGGGTCCCGTTCGGGGGCCGAACACCTCCAGGTTCGGCCCCCGCCAAAAAATGTTCCGGGGCCTAAAAATAAGTTTTTGTTTCTGAATCGTTTTTGGTGAGTTCTCAATGATGTAACCTACACGCCTATAAATTTTGAAGCCATTCTGCTGAGCCAAACAAAAATTAAAAATCGTCAAAGATGGGGTTGTCAAAACGTGCTCGCCCACTCACTATTTTGTTTTTTTTCACTTTTAACTTTTTGTTTTCACTTCATTTCGGGGCCTAAACAATTTTATTATTTTTTTAAACATTTTTAATGAGTTATTGATTATGTAAACTAAATCTCTGTAAATTTTCAGGGCATTTGTCAATGCCAAAAAATAATTAAAAATCGGCAAAGATGGCGGTGTCGAAAAGGTGCTGGCACACTCACTCGTTTTAATTCTCTTTTTATTTTTTCCTTATTTTTATCATAGTGTTTATTTTCTGTATTTGATTTTTAATTCAAATTTGGTAAAGAATTTGGATGTAGTGCCCAGGCAAATGTTGTTTAGCTTATTTTTCTCCATAACATATATTTTTTTTTGGTCCGCGTTCGGCCCAAACGGCCGAACGCCTTCCCAAGGGGTCCCGAACGTTCGGAAGTTCAGGTTCGGGCGTTCGGCCCGTCCCGAACGCCGGCAGCCCTGCTCTTGTAGATATTTGGGAGATCTATGACCACATATATATATATATATATTTTTTTCAGTTCGTATATATTTAAAAAAATTAAAAAACA